GGAAGTTGAGGCAGGAACCTGGAGGCAAGAACTGAAGCAGAGCCATGGAAGAGCACCACTTACAGGCTTGCTCCTCATGGCTTGCTCAGCCTGCTTTCTTGTACAACCAAGGACCACCTGCTGAGGACATTGTACTGCCCACAATGAGCTCGGCCCTCAGACATCTATCATTAATTGAGAAAATGCCCCACAGACTTGCCTAGAGTACAATCTTATGGAGGCATTTTCTCAACTAAGATTCCTGCTTCCTAGGTATGTCTAAATTTGTGTCAAATTAACAAAACCCAACCAAGACAACCATCATGCCCAGCTGGAAGGGGAAAATTTTGGTTAAAATACATTGTTTTAGAACTCAGAATGAGATCTTCTGTGTGAATATTGCAGGTGTAACCAACTACTTTCTGACTGAATTTAAGGCCTGACTCATGGAATGGCCAAAACCACGTCTCTAGTGACAGCCTACTAGTTTTGCTAAATGGACATCAAACTGCCTTCTAAATACTTAATTTTATAGCTGAGCTATCAGCCCCCATTGCATCAGTTTCTTTATTCGGTGGGTGGCAGTTAATACAGAGACAGACTCACCACTGGACAGTACAGAGAGTAACAGACAGTGGAGTGCTCAGCCCTAAATGTGACATCACTATCATACCCTCCCCACAAGGCTTAGAGAATACCAAGAAAGAGAAGGAGGAAAGTCTGTAAGACATAGACATTGGGAAAGACTACTTCAAAACAGTGTCCTGGACACGACAGGGCATGTGCTCATGAACGTGATCACAGCAGCTGTGGCTGCTTGCACAAGACGTTCCCAAGACCAAGCCAGTCAAAATTCCAATGCAGATCAGGGAGGGGATCATAAGGCCCCACACTTAGTTAAGAAGCTGCTGGCTACGGGGGGAAGGAAGCAGTTTACTCAGAGGTATTGCTTCTGGTAAATTGCCTTTGCATGGTGGATGGCCTTATACCTATGTACATGCAGGCAGCTTTAGTTGAACTCAGTAGGGTAATGAAAAAAAAAAAGACGTGAAGTTGGCATGGGAATTCAGTGAGAAATTCTGGGAGGAGTTTGAGAGAGACAGGATAGATATGATTAAAATATACTGTATAAATGTATGAAATTCTAAAAAGTAAAAAATATATTTTAAAAAGAGAGAAGAAACAGAGTCTGAAGGCTTTTCTAGTTACTGCATGAAACATAAGCAGAAACACACAGGCCAGAAATTGCAAGAGTTCTGCTGTGGGATGGTCTATATGTCAAATTGATCTGATTGGTCAATAAATAAAACACTGATTGGCCAGTGGCCAGGCAGGAAGGAGGTGGGACAAGGAGAGAGGAGAATTCTGGGAAGCGGAAGGCTGAGGCAGGGAGACACTGTCAGCTGCCACCATGACCAGCAGCATGTGAAGACTCCAGTAAGCCACCAGCCATGTGGCAAGGTATAGATTAATGGAAATGGATTAATTTAAGCTGTAAGAACAGTTAGCAAGAAGCCTGCCACGGCCATACAGTTTGTAAGCAATATAAGTCTCTGTGTTTACTTGGTTGGATCTGAGCGGCTGTGGGACTGGCGGGTGACAAAGATTTGTCCTGACTGTGGGCAAGGCAGGAAAACTCTAGCTACAGAGTTCCTGAGTTTTTAGTTTCTCAGGGTCATTCTTTTTTCCTAAAGTGTTGTCCAAATGTACAGCAATAGAATTTTTAAAACTAAAAGAACACATAAGTGTAAGCATATTGACAACAAGAGATCAGGAGCGGAAGACACTATATTCTTTGGGAGAAGCCAGTCATTAGGACAGAAACACGGGTATGCTGGCTAGTTTTATGTCAACCTGACACAAGCTAGAGTCATCTGAGAGGAGGGAGCCTCAATTGAGAAAATGTCTCAATAAGATCAGGCTGTAGGCAAGCCTGTAGGACATTTTCTTAATAAGTGATTGACAGGGGAGGGCCCAGCCCACTGTGGGTGGGACCACCCCTGGTCTGGTGGTCCTGGGTTCTATAAGAAAGCAGGCTGAGTAAGCCATTAGGAGCAAGCCAGTAAGCAGCACCCTCCATGGCCTCTGCATCAGCTCCTGCCTGCAGGTTCCTGTCCTGTTTGAGTTCCTGTGCTGATTTACTTCAATGATGAACAGTGCTGTGAAGTGTAAACCAAATAAACTCTGTCCTCCATAAGTTTCTCTTGGTCATAGTGTTTCATCACAACAGAAACCCTGACTAAGACAACTGGTGAAAGTTGTTGACTTCATGTAGAGAGAAAAACACCATCTCCCTCTCGCATGTCCAATATGTAATTTAAAGTGCGCACAGACACACGCACACACGCACACCCTAAGGGCACCCACTGCAGTGTGGTCATTCACTAAGGAGCATTTACCATGAGTCAGATGCAGACTGTCCAGTGTTTCTGGATGTGAAAGTCTGCTTGAACTGCGGGGAGTCAGAGCCAGTCAGACTCCTGCCCTTCCAGAATTTTTGTCCATGTGTGTATGTGTGTGCCTGTGTGCTACATATGCAGTGCTATGGAGAGCAGAAGAGTGTGCTTGAGTCCTGGAGCTCTAGTTACAGGGCGTTACCAGCTGCTCAAGTGGGGTACTGAGAACAAAATTAGAGTTTCCTGGAAGAGCAGGGAGTGTGCTCAACTACTGAACCTCTCCAGCCCCAATTTCTCTACCTTCTCTGCTCTTAAGCATGGGAAATGGTACTTGAACACACTTCTGAAGCACCCACTATCTGCTCACCTCTGCCATATTTTCACAATTCTTTTTTTTTTTTTAATTTTACATCCCCAGCCGCATTTCCCCTCCCACCCCTCCTCCCACCACTTCCTCCCACCTCCCCTGAATCCACTCTTCCTCCATGTCTGTTCAGAAAGGGGCGGGCCTCCCATGGGTGTCAACAAAGCATGGCATATTAAGCTGCAGTAAGACTAAGTACCTCCCCTTGTACTGAGGCTGGGCAAGGCGACACAGCATGTGGAATAGAACATTTTCACAATTCTAGTCACATCAAGAAGATGTTTGCTTTGCTGTTCTGCTTAGCTGGCTGTTGGGATGGCAACAATATGTATAACAAATCTCAAAGAAAACTTCCCCTGAAATTAAAACCTGACAAGATTACTAATTCAAATTACAGATGAATCATGTATTGTGTAAGAATTTAAAAAGCCAAATAAAATAATGAAAATGAAATTAAATCATGAGTAAAAACAAACAATCTGCCATAAAATAGTAAGTTTCCTTGCCAGTAAAGGTGCAAATTGAATATATTAATAAATTCCTTGTCTTGACAGGTTGAAAATCCAAATGATCCTCTCAGCAGGTACTCCCGATTTTTAAACTATTTAATAAGATCTAGTAATTCAAAATATTTGAAGTCAATTCAAAATGATACATGTCCATCAGCTATGTACAAAGGTTCCAAATTCCCCACTCCCTCCCTTCGAAGACTTCTTTCCTCTCCCCACTC